TTGTACATTAATACCGAGCGGGCATTAGGATCATGTTTTAATAACGTCGTAGATAGGATTCACTAGATCACATCGGCGATTGGTACAGCTGCGGACAATAAAAAGTGACTACCATTTTTGAACGGTTGACTTTTTAGCTCGATAACATTTGTTTAATAAATAAGTTAACTTTATTTTTTTTATTTTTTATTAAAATATAACTCTACACAATAAGTCCTGAAAATTTCGCTGAGATACAGGGTGATTCAGAACTTATCAAAAAAAAATTCTGGATGTACCCTTACAAATACAATTTTGTAAAGAAAAAATCAAAAAGGGCAGGTCGAAAATGATTTAAAAATACACTTCTACACGGCACTGGAAACTGGTCCACTCTAAAACCTGACCTCGCACAATGCGACCGGCATGGCGGTGTGATAAAAACGGACAAAAACTTTCGCAAGGAAAGAAATATGTAAATAGAATTTTATCGCACCTATTTTATATCGGCAAATTCAACTGCTTTTGCCTTTATTAATTAATAAAATTAATTTGTGTTTTCAAATAATAAAATCATTTGACGTACCCGATGTTACAACAATTGTTCAAAATTTTATCCACCAATGTGTAAACACATTTGGGTCCGTTGTACTCGGTTTCTACGAACTAATACAAATGTTGTCTTGCTTCACCATAACACAAATACTTCACCATAAATTAAAACGATATCCATCAACTCCGAATTGCTATACACGGCACGCAAACCATTTTTGACACTAATTACCCATTTTTGACATTAACTACTAAAAACCTATTGTAAACACCACAGATAACAGGTAAATACTTTCGCAACGACGATTGCAAAATCCGATTTCAGTATTCGGAGTCACTGAGGCCACGTGGCGAATGATACTAGAGACTACAGTTGTCCAGCTATGTAGTGGTTGAATGTACTATAACTTCAATATGTTTTTTCTTGGAAACGATAAGGATTTTACAAAAAAATTTTTTACGATATTGATTCCATTTCTCATGCTGCATCTATTCCCAATTTTTATTGGATAAGTTGTGAATCACCCTGTATATCTCCAATTAGTTTTTTGATTTAAGGCCCCAAAAAAGTTTATTACAAAAAAATATTGTTCTTAAAATGAAAATTTTGCAAAAGGGTTTTAGGGTATGATTATTGGTAACGACTACTTTTGATTATATATAAACTCAACAATTATATAAAACCAGTGGCGGAAGTACTAAATATTTCGGCACCACTGAATATTTCATAAATTGGACAAGTTTATTTCATTCTCAATTTTTTTTTAGAGAAGAAATGTGAATTTTTTTCGCAAAACGAGTAATTTTCAAGTTATAATTTTGTATTGTTATATATTTGTCTTTTATAAAACGAAAATGACTTTAATCGTTTTACAAAAAAATATTGTTGCAAATACAACTTTAAATACTTAGAATATAATTAAAAATAAAAACATTGACATTGAAATTTAATTTTAAATATTCTAAAATATCTTAAATTTGAAATATTCTGGCTTACTCTATATATATAGCTACCTTAAAAAATGAAATTTTGATTTCAAAATTTGTATTAAGACATTATTTGAGGTTATAAACAGATTTGTTTTATAAAAATGTATAAAATAATAAATAACGGTACTTCTCTCTTGAGTATTTCCGTGTTTTTAATTTATGAGCACCCTGTATATCTAATCTAAGATGTTTGTATGACAGTCTCATTTTTTCGAGGGGCAGAACTTTTTATAAAGAGTGACATTTTTCGATAAAGTCGAAAACAAAAGAGTTTCCCCTCTTGTCAACTCCATCCGTGGAGACACTGTATACAGGGTGAGTCATTAATAATGGTACACAGCTTAATGGCAGATTGTTAACGTCAAAATATAGCGATTGAGCCAAACATGCCTTAATCAATTGTTGCTCATTTTCGTTTTCCAGGGTGTTAAAGTTGAAAAAATATTTTCTAGATAAAAAAATCTATATTTTAAGTATGTATGGACCGATTGTTTTGAAAATTTGTAGTTTTACGTTTTTTTAGGTGGCATATACGAATATGCAAATAGTGTTGGGGTCAGGTCTAGGGGGCGCTAGTTGTACTGTCCTTTCAATGTAAAAATATGTCTAACTTTTTATATATTACAATTTTGAATTTTTTAACTAGAAATTGTTGAACTACGTTCAATTCTAAATAAAAAATGTATACTTGTTATAAATCCAAAAACTCAACTGTTTTCGAGTTACAGACGTTTTCAGTTTTTGAGATTCGACGGGAATTAAATTAGAAAATTATTTTTTCCAAAGTCGTAGACATGGACATAATAAATTGACAGCTGTCACTACAATACCATATTGTTTTCTACTCAATTTGATTAAGAAGTAGTTTTTTCCTTGTCGTTATTTTTTAGAGAAGAGAATATCTTAATAAGAGGCTAAGAAAGTGCATTGAAGTTGCTGGTAGTTAATAATTTGTTAAGATATTCATAATAAAATTTTTAAAAAATGTAAAAAATGAAATTTTGCTTCGTTTTCGAGCTACAATTAAAAAACTGAAATTCTCTTTAATTTAATAGCATTTCGCGGATTCATGCAATAAAATTGCTTGAACGTCATATTTCCTTTTAACCCTGTTTTTTTGGACATAATCAATAGCCTATATGTACAGTCGCTCCGCACCGTTAATGGATCACCCTGTATAATTCAAACTCCCGATTTTGGGCGCCGATTTCAACGTCTTGGGGCTTATATACAAACTATATTTTGTTAAAGAGTCTGTAGAAGCAATGAAGGAATACCATTTTGGAGACGAAACACACTGTAAGCAACCAAATTATGCTCATCAGTGAAAAATTCCCCCAGATAGCTCCCAATTTACTTAAATACAAACAATTCGGTATGCAAAAAGCGGCTAAACGGCGACAAATGGGTATTAAATGAGACAGGTTGAAAAACGAGGAAGAACCCAACTATCATTTATAAGGCCGTTTTTAGCGGCAACGACAAAGTTAATCGTTTTATAATGCGCCAATCTGGAGGTGGCAGTTTTTGATATAAATAATAAAGCGCGAATTACGATCATTATCGTCGCCGTTCGCTTCGGTCAGGATGATTATTGCTTTCTGCATTGTAACGAGAGAGTCACGGGAAAAGAGAGGATCGTGGCAGAGGTCTTGCTAATTAACCGCAACGTATACAGGGTGTCCAAACTTTTTACAAAATTTAAACGAATGCACGGATTACTTACCAATAGACGATATGCCCTAAAAAAATTGTTTCCATGTGCTAATTAATAAACATGCTTCCAAACGATAAAAATTATGTCACCAAAAACACCACACCACATTCACTGAACACCGTTGTTGGAACCGAGACCTCTGTACAAGATGAGGATTTGCATCACACCGATAAACATTTTATACGCCGGCTAAGTAATACTGCAACACACAACGCACGTGCACAAGATGCACAGGGTCGGCTTACATATACGGTTAATTTTCTTGATTAATTTTCTTGAAAACAGAAGCATTTTGAAAGGTTACAATACATTCTATATGGAAATTTGGCCGTCGCTATTGTCAGCATTGGAAAATAAGTACAAGGAGAATCAAGATGTCAAGCGGCGTAAACTAATACAAGGGAAATCGAGATACCAGGTAGCACAAAGAATGTTGGAAAAGAACAAAAGGAATTCAAACTAGAGATTTAGATAAGAATATTTGTAAAAGGTTTTAGCTGGAGATTAGGGAACAGAAATTTCCAAATTGTTGTTCAAGTAAAACTATAAATATAAAAAGTCGTTTTGCATTTAAAAATTATTAAAACTAATGCAAAAAATTAAATTTCGGTGATTTTTGACAGACTGTATTTAGATGAAAAACGGTAGTATCGGGAATTAAAAAAAAGCATTTTGAAGCTATAAGATTTTAGTTTTTAGATCTTTCGGTCGAAATTTCTTAGTAGTTACGGTTATAATGCAATTTTAAGAAATAGCGCGACAAAAAAATTTTTGCAAATTCCAAGAACCTGGAAAAGTTTTTTTTCAACTAAGCCATTGCATGGACCAGATAGCTTGTTTATTCAGCTTCAATTTCCTTTTGTTTTAAATTTCGATACGACCATTTTTCATCGAAATATCGGACTTTTAATAGAAAGGGATCATTTTGCTAAATTCGAAATATTCACGAAATGACTAATGTTAAGCATAACTATTACAGTTCGATATACCCAGAAGAACCCTGTGAAGTTTCACCGTTTCTTTGTTTCAAACAGCCAAACTTTTGAAAAAAATTTAAGGGTCACGTTTTTGAAGCTTAAACAGTTTATAATCATTTATCATCATTAAATGGGAAAAAATGCTTTTTTCTACAAACCTGTTAAAAGTGGGCTTTTTAATTGTCATTTTTGATGTTAAATATGTCATTTTTTGACACGCGTGTTAAAAGTAAGTTACTTTTAACACTAGTGTTAAAAGTAAATCAAACAGCACTGGTTGCTATGAAAATTTTGGTCCATAAACACTGCGATCTGTGTGGTATTTTTTGATTTCTTATTTTTATTGAGTTTAAAGTTATTCCGATTGTTTTGTAGAAAAAATAGTGTATGATATACGTGTTAAAAGTGATTTTATTTTGTTCGTGAAGTTAAAAAACTCGCTACGCTCGTTTTTTAATCATCTTCACTCACAAGTATATAACTCAAGTATTTGTATTTCTTATTTTCCATGTATTTAACTTCGCACTTTTTCTGCAATACTCAAATAAATCACATATTTATGAAATGTTTGATAAAAAACTGATTCCTTATAAAATATTTATTTAGTTTAAAAATTAAGAAGTAGTTCTACGTATACGTTCATTTGCCAGCTGTCCAGACCATCACTACTGATTTTAAACTAATAAAATATCAACGCAATGTCTTTGATCGCGGTAAAGAATCTAAAAAGTTTGATCAAGCCTGGCTACACCTCATAAAAACCGAAAAGAATTTATATCACAGGCTTAATAGTAAGTATATCTGTATACCCATCCTTTTGGAAACTTTCGTATCAACATCTTTCTCATCTCGTCGTACAGTATAATGAAAATCGCATACGGGATAGCCGGAAGTATCCCTATCAGATTGATCGGTTCCATCTGAAAAGCCCTGTTAATATACGGACAGTACACCACCACCCCAGCCAGGAAGATCTCAAACATCAAACCGGCGTTCAACACGTGATTACCCATACCCTGCTGGAAAAGCGACAGCTTCCTCGTCTTGCAGATCAGCAGGTCGGCGATCTGGGTCATGACGATGGAGAGGAAGTAGCCTGTGATGCACTGATGGAGCAAATGGTCGCGATCCTCGAAAGAGAATTCTTTGCCGTTAACGTTCTTCATTGAGGTGATATGTTTGTTCTCCCAGTCTGGACGAATTCCTGGAAAGAAAGATGTTTAGCCACCAAGCGTTGCAGAACTCAGTCCCACGGACCTATCAGTGACTTGAACGGGAAACCTTGCATACCCATCATGAAGAAGAAAGAGGTGTAACTTGCACATGCCTGGATAACACCTATTTGTCCGTAGGTGAGGAATATCAGCTTGCTGTTGATCAGTTTGTCTTTCTTCGGGTTCCTGGGGTGTCTGGTCATTATGTCCGTCTCTGGTTTCTCGTACGCCAAGCTTATAGCAGGCCAGAGGTCGGTACCTGACATGAGAAACTGATAAATTACAGGGAATCATCAACAATTCCATACCTGCCTACGTCTATGACGATGATGGCCATGATTGTGAGGGACTCTGGGATGTCTAGTATCAACAGGCACAAGAAGGGCGCAATTTCAGGGACGTTGGAGGTCAACTCGTAGGCGATGCTCTTCTTCAGGTTGTCGAAGATTAGTCTGCCTTCTTCTATGCCTGTCACAATGGAGGCGAAATTGTCGTCCATGAGGATCATGTCGGCTGCCTCTTTGGAGACGTCGGAGCCAGTTATGCCCATGGCGATGCCGATGTCCGCCTTCTTCAGGGCTGGGGAGTCGTTGACACCGTCTCCTAAGAGTGAACAAAGAGTTATTTTAAATAATTTTTATACACAGGACAGTTTTGACCACTGAATATGATTCCCATTCAGGACAACAACCTTAATACTAACCAGTTACCGCAACAACTTTCTCCAGCCTTTGGAAAGCCTCCACGATCTTCAGCTTCTGTTGCGGACTGGTCCTAGCAAACACTATCTCCGGAAAAGTCTTTAGAAGCCTCTCCAGCTCCGATTCCGACATTTCCCTCAAATCGGAACCAGTTATGACGGCTGCTGTGCAATCGTCTGTTCTAATAATGTCATAAGTTTTAGCATAATAAGAATTGGGTTTTTTGTAATACCGACTTCGCTATCTCCGAAACTTTCGACAGCGAGATGTTGTCCTTCAGAGCCAAATCGTATGCAGACATCGCGTAGCTGGAGATGATTCCTACTTTCCTGGCTATGGCCAGGGCCGTGACCGGGTGGTCTCCAGTGACCATTATGACCCTTATGCCAGCACTCCGACATTTAGATACAGCGTCCGGCACGGAGGGTCTTGGCGGGTCTATCAGTGAGATCATACCGACGAATCTTAGCCCTAAAGAAGGAACAGAAGGAATTTTTGGACATCATCAAACTATGAAGACCGTACGTTCTTTATTTATACATAGTCTCGGAACACTATATAAAATGAACAACACATTACAATTTTTAAGTGTGTACTATTTTGGTATTGTAGTGTATATACCTTTAAGTGGGAAATTAGGCTTATCTGAGTTGAACTTGTAGTCTGGACCAAAGGTAGGAGGAAGGAGTAGGTCCGCAAAGGCCAGCACCCTTTCCCCCTGCGTGCTTAAATGGGTGATCGCCTTCTTTATGGGTTTTAAATGAAGGGGAGTCGTCGCGATGATCTCCCCGTCGCGTAAGATGCAGTTGCAGTGATCCACGACCTTTTCCGGGGCCCCCTTCATCACAACAAGGTACCGTCCGCTGGGCATGATGTGGACGGAGGCCTGATACTTGTTGGTGGAATTAAAGGGAATCTCGCAAACCTACAAATGAAAGCATAAGAGGTAGGTTATGGATCGACTCAACCACTGTTAGTGACGTCGCTAAACAATGGCTCATCATACGTGAGACCTTATGTGTAATGGTGTAGCGACCCTATGCTTGCCTTGGGATACTCTTTTCTCTTCTCCACCACGTTGCCCTCCAGCTGCTCCATTATTTTCAAAATGGCGGATTCGCTGGCGTCCCCGGTTGTCCTTCTACTCCCTATTGGAACGAGGTCCCCGTCTAAGAACGTCGCTCTGCTGCACAGAATCGCCACCAGGCTGAGTGCCTCGTATGCGTCTGCCTCCCTGTCGATGCTCTCAAGGTTTGTCAGTACGTCGTGCACGTTCGAGTCGTAGAATAGGTGGGAAGCTGTCATCTTGTTCTGCGTCAGTGTACCTGAAAAAAGTTTCCTTTAAATATCAAGGTCAGTTGTACCACAACGAGACGACAATTACCTGTTTTGTCCGAACAAATAACGTTGCATGCACCCAATGTCTCTATACATTCCAACTTCTTCACCAAACAATTCTTCTTTGCCATCCTCTTGGCGGTGAGGCTCATGCAGGCTGTCAGAGCGATGGGTAGACCTTCGGGTACGTTAGCTATGACGATGGCTATGAAAAAGATGAAGCTCTTGAAGAAACTGTAGCCTATAATCATGGATGAGGTGAAGATCAGGAAGCCTAAGCACACCGCGATGATGGTGACGATTCTGACGAAACGTTTCAGTTCCTTGTGGATCAACGTTTCGGTTTTTTCTAGAGAAGAGGTCAGACCGGCTATCCTGCCTGAAACAGGTTGATGAATATATATTAAATAAAATTCACCAGTAATGCGTTACCAATGACGGTGTGATCGCCACATTTGATGACGATGCCTGTGCCTGATCCCTCTACCACGTTGGTGCCGTAGAAGGCCAAGTTGACGGTTTCGAGGGGGTCTATCTCGGTGCACTCGTTGCTTCGATTTAAGGGGCAGGACTCCCCAGTTATGGCGCTGTTGTCCACCTTCATGTTCTGCGCCTCTATGATTCTGATGTCGGCAGGAACTACGTCTCCTGCGTAGAGCTTCACCAGATCGCCTAACAAGCTACTACTGTTAATCAGGGTTGGTACAAACCAAAGAATTCTTTTACCTTGCACTATTTCTTCGCTCGGTATAGCGTATTCCGACCCACTTCTGATCACCATCGCGAACTTGGGCACCATCTTCTTGAAGCTCTCCATGATGGCGGAACTAGTCTTTTCCTGGTAAAACCCGAAGAAACCGCTGAAGAAAATTACTACTAACAGTACCCCACCTACAATTGGAACAATCAGAAAAGGCTTTGTGTAGCTTTTATGTTTATATTTACCTAAATATAAGGGATCAACGCTAGCTTTTTCCAGTCCTTCTTGACTGCAAGACAGTCCGTACCCTATGAATGTCAAAATGGCACCTATCCACAACAAGACGTTGAAACCACCGAATATGTATCCTATTAAAGCCAGGAGCTTGGACTTACTAGGTGGCGCCACCAGGCAGTTGGGCCCGTGGAGCTCTAGGAGTTGGTCGGCTATTTCCTTGTCTAATCCAGTGTCTATATCTGTGCCGTACCTGAAAAATCAGTCATTCTTTGCTATAGAAGTTGCGGGCTAGAAGACATAAATTAGAAATGGGGTTTTAAAAATGGATCTATGCCTTGTGCAAAACCATACTTATCGTATCAACTTCGACGTCACCTGTTGCATGGGTGTTGTACAATGATGAAAACGTAATATTGACAGTTGGTAAAAGGAAGCACAAAAACAAGCGCTTAGGTGGGGAATTCTGGAAGGAAGCCTAAGGAGAACAGTGTGGAGATGGGAGTAAGAAGATCGGCGGACAGTGAGGCAAAATAGTGAAAAATCAGTGTTTAACTCGTATTAATTAGCAGGTAATATTCTCTAAGTACTTTGTTGTTAATTGCTCTATGTAATCTTATGATTGTGATGATTATAGATATTTAATGATAACAATTCTTCTCTGTACGTTCAGCCTCCATTGCTTTATGTTCAAGGGCATATATTTTTCTAAGGTAAAATTGTTACAATTATTATTAACGATTGCTCATTATTTATTACATGTTAAAATATTATATATTGTCGTGACTGCCCAGATATTGCAATAACAACTCCTTTGTTTCACATTTAACTTGTTTTTGTCATGATTACATTGTTCGAAAAACAAATAATAAAACATTTCTTGTGCTCACTTTATGTCATATGCATATAAGAGCCTTGTTGAATTTACTAACATTTTCGTCCGTGGGGAATGAATCTTTAAAAAGAATAATTAAATACAAAAAAAGAATTGCTAAAACAGATCTTCCGAAATCTCAACTCATAGCTGGATTGCCTCCCGTATGGGACTCCAGTACCTTCCGGCCCTGCCGGCTAACTAACACCAAACCTCTTCAGTTTTACTTGGAAGTGTGTATGTCTAATTCGAGCTAGGTGAGATTTAGTGAGACATTAAATAAGTCGGGTGTTATTTATTATTAGCAAAGGATCTTAATTATTATTATTAAAACGAAAAGGAAAAACCATGGCCTGGAAAAATAACAGCCACAAAAAAAGTCCAAATCCAAAAGAGCCACATATTTCCCAAGGAATTCGATGCCTAGAACACGATCGTACAGTATCTGGCTTGGAATTTTTTTTGTGTAGCTGTGTTATCGACCACATGCATGCGAATTTGCTTATTTCCGGTTATGGTAGTCCGTTTTCACCCCCAAACTGCGCTGCCAGTGAACAGGAAGGCTTATTCATCAACTAATCTGGGTTAAACTCATTTTCCCTCGAACAAATAAAGAAAGGCACTATTCCCGCGACAAGGGACGCTCGCACAACCAACTTTCGACAAAAATCGATACCATATCTTATTATAGGAAGTACCTAATTAATTATGTATTGTGCTTTTCCCCTCTTTTGAAGTTAGTGTCGATACCGCTGAGGATTACGTGGGATGAGCTGTGCGAGATGGGCCTCAAAAGGAACTTCTAGTAACAGTAATGGGGCTTTCGAGCCCTCAGATGCGAATTAATAGACAGCGCCTTCCCCCTTCGCGTTGGAAATAATTATTTTTACGGAATTGTGTTAACCTCGAGATAATGCGGGGTGAGTCCTTATCTCCTAGCTGTTGGGGTGGGAGGAACAACTGCTGCGTGTGTTTCTGCGAGACCCTGCCCTGGAGGTATTAATATTATGGATGACGTTCATTTGTGTCGACGAGGTGCAGTTATTTAGGTTCATACAGGGTGTTTCCTAAGTGCAGAAAGTTCAGGGAAGTGCTGTTGGTAGCGTAAAATAAAACATTTGCTCTGTGGATACTATCATGTACTTTTTCGCGGGAGAATTTTGCCGAAAGAAACAAAATTTGTCTCATATGCATTCATTCAGTAAATTTTTTGTCTCTATACATTTTTTCGTGTCTTTTACCTTTAAATTTATTTTCTTAATAAGTGTATCTTTTTGATATGGCATATTACTTTACTTGAGTACAGTCATTGAAGCTGATAATCAGCTGTAACCTCCGAATTCTTTGAAACTGCATGGATTTGCATGAAAATTTAGAATAAGGCTCATCTTAGCCTCAAGTTCAAAAGTGACATAAGCTCGATTGAGCTTTTTGTTTTTTAGGGGTAAAAGCTACCACTAAGTGAAAAAAATTGAAAAATTGAGTTTTAAGCATTTTATTGATAAAAATCTTGTTCAAGCACAAAGATTAAATAATGTTCCATATTCTCGAACATGTTTTCTGATATATTTGATCTTTTCGACCCTTTATTTAACCCTTAAAAACTACCCCTATGCAAAAAGTAATAATAAAAAATTACTTTTTAAAGATTTGGAATGATTAAATCGTGCAATTATTTAAAATAAAAGTTACCTTATAGCTAATAAAAGAATTTTTCCCTTTCAACCCCTAAAAACCACCCCTGTATTGACAAAAATGATAAAAAATTACTTTTTAAAAGCTTGGAATGCTTTAACGGTGCAATTATTTAAAATAAAAATTCCCTCATTGCTTATGAAAGAATTTGTATCTCATAACACTTTTCAACCCTTATAAATCACCCCTGTGCTAAAAAAATGATAAAAAATTACGTTTTAAATCTTGGAATGCTATAATTGTGCAATAATTTAAAATAAAAATTCCCTTATATTGTTTATGAAAGAATATTTTACTTTTGCCATTTTCAACTCTTATAAACTACCCTTTTACCAATATTAATGTAAAATATTTTTATTATAATCGATTTATAAATATAATCAATCAAAAAAAAATTGCTACGCTGCATATAAATAATCACACTAAATTTTTTTACTTATTTTATTTGTATAATATAATATATAATATATAAAAATGAGAAAGCCTATTTTGCTCCGAAAAAATGTCATTGGTTTTTTTACCATACTTAACTCGGTTAATTTTGAAGCCATAGTATCCTACAAAAAGCATTTTAAAGATAATTTCAAGAGCTGTAAGATCGTTTGCATATAAAACCTTTTAAGTCCTTTGTTTTTTAAAGGGAAAAGATCGAAGGGCTCGAGACAGGTCGTTTTTTCACTAAAATTGATACTTCAAGCGGCGATATCTCCTTTATTTTTTATGCTATCGAAATAAAAAAGCAAAATATTTGTTGAAAAAAAAGCTACAATTTTGTTGTCTATCATTATTTACGTATCTTTCATAGTTTCAGAGTTATTATATAAATAAGGCAATTTTTTTTTGAATAATGAAAAATACGTTTCAAACTTTTACCGTAGGTACAGTACATATTCAAAAAATACGCATTCTAAACCGGTCTAGCTTCAGGATCGTATGAAAAGCACTAAAACAAAACTAATTGTAAAGGGTCTACGATTAATTTTAATTCTGACGGAAATGGTACAGCGTTTACTGCTCATTTTTCCTTAAAAAATATGAGCAACCCATCTGTTTTTGACGATAACTCCTTCAATTTTGCTCTAATTAACTTTTATAAGTGCTCATTTTGAAGGTCTTTTTGAGTACTACAAAAAATTCCCGGAGCATTATACACGTAAAATTAATCCTTTTTCCGTTATTTGACGTTGAATACATCGATTCGAGTATTCCTCCCAAAACAAGTTCCCTTCCACACCATATTTCGCTTTGTATAGGACGTACATCACTTTTTAAGAAACGATTTTCTTTGTTTGTTTATAAGCTACATATTTGTTCATTATACTTTTTTTAATAAAATGCGTAATTTTTTAGTTATTCGCGAAAAATACTTTGAAAAAGTTTTTTTGCACTCAAAATTACAAGTTTTCAATCGTGAATAACTAAAAGACTTGATTTCTCGAAAAAATTCCTCGAATATTTTTTGCTCAAAATTTGATTCTCTATCAATTTCCTGCGTTATTTTTAAAAAAATTTCCACCCCCGACACCCCTTGTCAACCCCCAACAGGGTGGAATCGTCAATCGGCGCTATGTCACTAATGTTCATTGAGCTATTCTCTAACTATTAGTCCAAGCATTCTGTCACGGATTAATGTTAAATTTGCAGAAATTATTACCTGGACAAAAAAAATATGACCGTATAGAAAATTAAATTTTAAATTGAGTTTCTTGTTTTTTAAACTCGATCCAATATGGCGAACATGGTTAAAAAAAATCGCAAAGTTGAAAAAAACGGTTTTTCTAAAATAACTAAAAAAATATAGCACGGATTGAAAAATTTTAAATGAGAAAGTTGTAGGTTTTAAAAAGATCTATCGACTGATTTTTTGAAAGTATCGATTGCTTTGTTACTTTTCGAGATATATCGAAAAAACCGTTAAAAATCTTCTCTTTTCTCTTCTTCTATAACTCGTTTACATTTACGTGCCCATATTTGCTATTTACTGCAAGCATAGCCCGCGGCAAGCCAAAAAAGTACATTTTTGAAAAATTTAAAAATATTAATTATTTTTCGAGATATATCGATTTTTTGAAAAAAAGGCGCTCTCGAAAATTGGCTAGATCTTCTCAGCGGATAGCCCTACAGTAACGATTTTCGGTTTATTTTCTTCGTAAAGAGTTATATTATCATGCTGTTAAAAAATGTTGACGATTTTATTAATTTTAAGGATCAAAAAATGACTGAAAAAGTTGCACTTTTTTTGGGTATGTTTTTTTCAAATAACTATTTCAATTTTTATTATTTTTTTGTACTTAATCTGGGGTAGCTAAACACGAATATTATAGCATTTTCGCCTTAGAAGCAAAATAGACCCGTAAATGTTTAGTTTTCTTTCTTTAAAAGTCATTTTCATAAAATAAAAATTGAAATAGTAATTTGAAAAAAACATACCCAAAAAAGTGCAACTTATTCAAAGTCATTTTTTGATCCTTAAAATTAATAAAATCGTCAACATTTTTTAACAGCATGATAATATAACTCTTTACGAAGAAAATAAACCGAAAATCGTTACTGTAGGGCTATCCGCTGAGAAGATCTAGCCAATTTTCGAGAGCGCCTTTTTTTCAAAAAATCGATATATCTCGAAAAATAATTAATATTTTTAAATTTTTCAAAAATGTACTTTTTTGGCTTGCCGCGGGCTATGCTTGCAGTAAATAGCAAATATGGGCACGTAAATGTAAACGAGTTATAGAAGAAGAGAAAAGAGAAGATTTTTAACGGTTTTTTCGATATATCTCGAAAAGTAACAAAGCAATCGATACTTTCAAAAAATCAGTCGATAGATCTTTTTAAAATCTACAACTTTCTCATTTAAAATTTTTCAGTCCGTGCTATATTTTTTTAGTTATTTTAGAAAAACTGTTTTTTTCAACTTTGCGATTTTTTTTAACTATGTTCGCCATATTTGATCGAGTTTAAAGAACAAGAAACTCAATTTAAAATTTAATTTTCTATACGGTCATATTTTTTTTGTCCAGGTAATAATTTCTGTAAGCATTTCTCTATAATGCTTGGACTATATCTGCCAAATTTCAAGTCGATCGGTTCAGTTTCAAAGAATTCAGAGGTGAAAAGCTTCAATGACTGCACTGTCTGTAATCAAATTACCTTAATTTTAGCCATAGTATACGTCTTTCAATTTTCTGCACGTACCCAGAAAACACCCCGTACCTCAGGAAAATGATGAGGAAGCTACAAAACACGTCTACAGAGAGGCATAGGGATAAAAGACATATCCGCGATTTTTCCGCGAGAGTAAATGTATGTCGCAAGTTATCTCCGACATATACGTTCGTGAAATTGTTAAAATCTTTAACAAACAACTAAGAACATACTTTACATGGGTTTACCTAATAGAAATTTCCTCAATGCTGAGTAGATGGTCGTCTAAAACAATGTCCTTTTTGTATTCGTATACTTCCTTGGCAGATCTAACTCTGGTTATCGGCTTCAAATAGGATACCCCAGAAGAGCTCCTGGTAACGATGGTACTTATGCTGATGTCCGATCTGCGCGGTTTCACCGTGTTTTTATGTGATTTCTCCATAAAAAATAACGTATGCAGTTCAGCTAGAGGACAGTCGGGATATACGTATGTTCTCAAAGCAACAAACCTTCTTTCTGCGGTGTGTCAATACACTAACATAGATTTTTCACCTTTTCATAGTTAAGGAGAGGGTTGTTTCGATTTCGGGATATGTTCACTATCTTTGTAGCTGTCGAGAAACGTCAATCATTGTTTGAAATACGTTGGAAATGTCATTACAGTCACTGCTTAGTAACGCAGCTTAGAATATTAATAGTCCAGACGGTATCTGTTTCATATTTGGGTGAATCGTTTATCCACGGAGATTTTTGGCTTTTTGGCTTTCAAATAGCACTGGAAATGAAAATTTTTCTATGCGCATAAAAAAAGCGGGCTTAACTTTTGGCGGCACAATAAAAAAATAAAGTTGATAATTAAAGGAAGTTTAAAGATAAATAATTATTGGATTGTTGAAAGACCAATAATTATTAACGATAGGCATTTGAAAATACGTTAATTGTTTTTTTTAACTCGCGAGACATCGATTTAAAAAAAAATCATCAAAATCGAACCTCTAGAACAGGGGTGTCCAACTTGCAAGGCCTCAAGGGCCAAAACTAAAACCTTTGATGTGGTTGCGGGCCATATAATAATTTTGTTAAAGTAGTAACAAAATAACGTGAGGTATAAAAATAATTAAAACAAAAAAGGAGTATTATTTCTTTTATTGCTCAACAACTACATTTTTTTAGATAAATGGAAAATTTATACATTATTTTTTTCAAGAACTAAGACAAACATTGCAATAATAATGAAAACTTGTATCTAACGTGAAGACTGTGGTCAATCGGTTTCATCCACCAATGAAGAAATGTCCACCTCCAGTTCAGTTGTAGACAGTCTCATGAGATGACGTAAGGAAGAATCGGTAAGGTTGCTTCTGTTGTGGTTTTTAATGTATTCCATGGAGGAAAAGGCACTTTCACATGTATATGTGCTTCCGAACATTGATGTCATTTTCAGTCCAAAATCTCGCACGTTTGGGAATTTCTCCTTAGACATCAATTTGAAAAATTCAGGTCATTTTTCTTGTCTGGTGATCAGGAACATGTCAGCTTGAAGATCACATAACTCAAGTTGTAAGTCGGGTGGTTGATCTTCAATGGTTGCTCCAAGAGGATTATTATAAAGCAGTACACTGCTTTTAAGACTTTCAATTTCTTCAAATCTTGTATTAAATTCATCAATAACTTGTTGAATTTGTGAACTGCAGCATGAAAACTCAATATTTTCCTCACTATTGAATTCTTCTGCTAGTTGCAGATAGCTAGGGAAGTGTGTCAGGATGTTCTTTTCCAAAGCATGTTTAAACACGTTCAGCTTATTCCGGAATCCGTTTATTTTTCCGATCAAATATGAAACCGTCTGGTTTCTTCCTTGAAAACTCAAGTTTAAACTGTTAAGATGATTAGTCAGATCTGTTATAAAAGGCTAACTGTCTTAAGAATTCTGGATCCTTAAACTTCTTTTCCAGTTCAGTTGTGTCAGATGAAACGTATTCATTGAGGAATGCAGGGATTTCCTTTCTTATGGCAAAAAATCGTTCCATGCACTTTCCTGCACTCAGCCACTTTACATGGTTGTACATTAGCAAGTGTTAGAGAGACCATAAAATATAAATCTTTTTTCACAATGGCAGCATTTAAAGAAAATATATGCTTTTCGTAAAACATTACGCGGGCCACAACTAATAGTATCGCGGGCCGGATGCGGACAACCCTGCTCTAGAAGCTGAGATATTAAGAATTTTTAAGCGCGTCGCCGTTTTGAACTCACATATTCAATTTCGAGCAGGCCGAAGCGGCCGCGCTCTCTGCTTCCCCCACCACCACCACCCGTACGATTTTCTTGAATTTACCAACCAATCGGTCTGTTTTTTTTAAAGCGTCTTTGCAAGAACTTTTAAAACTTATTTTAAAAAATTTGATTTGGTTGAATATTCACAAAGTTATTCTAATTGTTTATAAGTACAAAAATTCGACCAATGTTTAAAAAAGCGCCAGAGCTCTACTAATTGACGGATTCGAATTTTTCAAAAAGCGTTTGGAAGCTTGAGAGCCCTTCTATATGTGATTGAATTTTCAAATATCTAAGGGCCTGTATGTACTATTAATTGTTCTGTATAGCTACTTGTTACAATTCTTTGTATAAAGAAAATGTTATTGTAAAACACATTTTGAATGTCTTTGCACCTATTATATAAATAAGAATATTTGTTATACTGCTATATCCACGGGCGCCACCAGAGGGAGGGTCAAGAGGGGGCAGTTACTGCCCCTCCTCCCTCTGGAAAAATATAACGAATCAATTTATTGAAGAAGTACTGGATACTTTTACTCAAGACAAAATGAATGTTAAAAATATACATTTTATTTATTTTACTATAATTTTGTTTTATAATGTTTTGTTTACTATTATTCCTATTCTTTTGTATATCAGAAAAATACTTGTTCTAGTATTTTGTTCTGTGTTACTACAGTTTTCTTTTTGTAATTTTTTTTATATAAAAAAATAAAATACGAAATATTATCTTTGTAAAACATTCCGGCGACGCCTATGGCTGTATTGCGAGTGTATCACAATTCATCAACGGCAAGTTTCGAGCCAAAATGGCGGTCGAAGAATGGCATTTACTGCCAACGCGATCGTTTTGATAATTTTTACAACGCCTGAAAAAATAAAACTTGCAACTCCTAAGCAAATCTTACGACAAGGCGGCCTTGGTCAATCAGAGCAAGAACGGTAGACTGTCGTAAAACGTAACTGGTATTTAAACTCAGTTTTTTTTTGTCTGATTTGGTGTATAGTAATGAAGCCATCCCACAAACACAAAAATAAAAGCCTTAATTACGTGGTTAATTACAAGAATCTCGCAATATTTTGAGGCAAATTGCTTCAGACGTCGCAAAAGTTAATACCCGTCTACGTGCGTGTAAGCAATAACCTCGTGAGAAAAAATACGCGGTGTTCCCGTGCCTCTCATAACAATTTGCACGAAAACGCAGACGAATTTTTTATAAGGAATGTCCAGTTGTATACTGACGGCATATATAAATGATTTTCCTAGAAACGGACACATTCTTGCTATGTAGAATAATAATGAGATCCCGTATCGAGTTTCTCGAAACACAATTACTTAAAAAAAGAATAATTCAACATATATTTGTATTTAAGACATTGGGACATTTATTTGACATACATATACAGTACGCGCCTAAAGTATGGAATAAATTCATTAAAAATGAAACAAATTTTGTTTGGGAAAAGTCCTCGAAGTTTTCAAAAATCAAGCCCCAGGTCGATTTTTAATTTAAAAAATACACATTTTAGCATAAAAGGCGATTCTCAACCGTCATTTGTTTTCGAGTAATGACGTCATCGACATTTTTTTTTTAAATAGCAACCCCTATTTTTTTTCTTGATTCTGAAAGATCGTTTCATTGTCGATCCGACAGTATTAAAATGTTGCCATCTTACATAGGAAAGTTTTCGAGTAAATGACGATTAAATGTGTTGAATTGAAAACCCAAAATCAATTAAAATAAAGCACAAACGTTATCAAATTTAGTTTTTCGAAATGCCTGAAATTATTTATGGTTATCACGTAGGTGTAAATTATTACAAAGTGTCACTGTCGTACCCACTTTCTAAGTATTGTAAGCGATATAAAAATTATTGTTGAATTTAAAGTATTATGGCACATTTAACTGTCACACAAAAAATTTAAACTCTAATTCTTATTGGATGCGGGGATAAGACTAGAACGTAGCAGGAGGTATGCGATTTATTTAATGAAAAACTTTTAGATCGCCGTATCAGCCAATCAACAGTAAGATAGAATCTAAATTTAGAGAAACTGTCGATGTTGTAGATATTCCAAAATCTGGACGTCCAAGCGTTAGTGAAAATCACAAACAGGACATTTTGATAAGTATGGTAGATAATCCTCATAATACTTCACGATTGGTTGCATTAAACAATGAAATTAGTCAGACCACAGCGCTACGTGTCCTGAGGAAGGAAAAATATTATCCCCACAAAATTCAACTTGTGCAGGAACTCAATGAAGACGATCCCGACTGCCACTTACACTTTTGTGAAATTATGATGGATTTATGTCAAGTAAATAGAGATTTACACCGGCAAATACTTTTTTCAGACGAGGCCACGTTTTGTCTCAATGGTACAGTGAACCGTCAAACTTGCAGGTATTGGAGTCGGGAAAATCCTCATTGGATGGCAGAGACACATACCCAACACCCACAGAAATTAAATGTGTGGGCTGGAATAGTTGACAACAGAATAGTAGGGCCTTTCTTCTTTGAAGGAACCCTTACAGGAGAAAGATATCTAGAGTTTTTACAAAATGACCTTGTTCCAGCGCTTGCAGTAAGTTTTCCTAACGATAATAACCCTGATATTCCTGATGACACCATATGGTTTCAGCAAGACGGTGCACCTCCGCAGTATGCGCGCCCTGTTCGAGATTTTCTGGACAATTGTTTTCCCAGGAGGTGGATCGGCAGACGAGGACCGATGGAATGGCCCGCGAGATCCCCAGATCTTATACCTCTAGACTATTTCTTATGGGGCTACTTAAAGTCCAAAGTGTATGTTAATAGATCACATAATTTAATACTGTCGGATCGACAATGAAACGATCTTTCAGAATCAAGAAAAAAATAGGGGGTTGATATTTAAAAAAAATGTCGATGGCGTCATTACTCGAAAACAAATGACGGATCAAAATCGCCTTTTATGCTAAAATATGTATTATTTAAATTAAAAATCGACCTGTTCGAGGTATTTTCCCAAAAAAAATTTGTTTCGGTTTTGCTGAATTTATTCCATACTTTAGGCGCGTAGTGTATAGCGACATCTGGTCTCAGACACTTTAATTTTTCTTTATGGATGCTTAAATGTCCTTTATAGTTATAAACATGGTTGCCAACTATTCTGTT